CAGTGTTATCAGTGATATCATATGTGTGTATGTGTGTGTATGTGTGTGTGTGGAGAGAGAGAGATGTAGTTGCTCTTTTCGTAGATTTACTCTGTCTCAAGAGTAATATTATATTGAATGTCATCAGTAATACCAAATTTAATTTAAAATTGATCTTGTTTTTTGTACACAAATGAAACGAATGCATAGGAATCTATGTATGTATGTATGTATGTATGTATGTATGTATGTATGTATGTATGTATGTATGTATGTATGTATGTATGTATGTATGTATGTATGTATGTATGTATGTATGTATGTATGTATGTATGTATGTATGTATGTATGTATGTATATATATATATATATATATTCTAAAAATACAACATGTAAATTTATTTATGTTGAAAATACATACAATACATATTATAATACTTATTAAATAGTTCTTCCACAATCTCGTATTTCATTTGTCCATTCATTTTTCTGTATTTCTGAATACAAGTGATTTAAATATTCAAAGAGCCTAAAATTCAATAACAGTAATAAATGTATTTTATTTTATTTATTGTAAGGTAAAGACCTAAAAAAGATATGTGAATGTTATACTTATTATTTTAAAGAATATATATTTATTCTCAATTAAATTATAACATGAAGCTAGTAATTATTTCAAACAAATACTAATGAACATCAAAGCTGTAAAATATTTTATAACATTATGATTGTGGAAGAAGGGAACTGAATAATATTATATTATAAATACAATGAACATCAATTCAGTAAAATATTAAATCAGTAAAATATTAAATCAAAATAAAAATAATTCAGAAGAATACCACAACTCACTATAAAATCTTTAACTTCCAAAAGCGAGTATAAATCATAATTTTGTTACCTGTAAGAAATAGACATGATACTCTTTTGAGCCTGGAATCTGACTGAGAATAAAGCAGCCCAAAGCCTTTTTTATATTCTGGAAGCTGCCTGATCACGAGTGCTTCATCCAAGAGCAAAAGAAGTCTGTCTAAAAATCACGATTGCTTCTTGCGTGCTATTCAAGGACAGCTTTAACTTTATATCAAGTTTTAGGGGTGGGGGGGGTTGAGTGTGAGTGTGTGGACGGTATTTTTCCGAAGTAACGACCTTTTGGATCATACATTGTCCATAACCTTCCATTAGCAAGTGGTCATTCACATCGTGAACTTAATTAATTTAATTAATTCCCTAGGGTGATTATCAATTACTTTGTTCCCAACATCACAACGCAATTTAATAAGGTTTTATTGATTAAATGGTGAGATAAAACATTATTCGGCTCCTATCCGATGGTGAACTATTGAACTGGCTTATTAATTAGGCTTTTTCCATTACCAAGTGAAAGCTGAACAATAATAAATGCTTAATCTAAATTCATTTCAATGTCCTTATTATATTCAGGATATGAATTATTGATTGGGCCACGCTTCTCTTACACTCCAAATCAATATCAAAGCACTATCTTAAATGTGGATGTTTTTGTCTTCCAATAACTAGAGATTTCAATATGTTGTACACAAATTAATATTTTCGTTTCTTTCTTTTAGAATTGATATCTTGATATATATATATATATATATATATATATATATATATATATATATATATATATATATATATATATATATATATATATATATATTCTGTCCATCCATACATCCTTCTGTCTGTATATCTGTTTGAAACTACATTTTCTCCTGAAGCTACTTTGTGAAAACCCACAAACCACGGCAGTTGCCGCCTCCATGCGTAATTCAAATTCATGAGGTATTGTTTTCATCCTTCAATGTGGTGTCAAATATAACATTTTCTAAAATTCCAATTACAGTGAGTATTTAATAGTCTTTAAACATTTGTACATGCAGAAGTAACAAGTACATGATGTGTTACAGATTTTGCATTCTAGCTATTAATTTAAGAGATGAGGGTGAGTGGACAGCCGTCAGGAGGGGGACGCCATGATATAGGTGTGATATTGAAAAACAAGTAATTATTAGTCTTAAATTTTTTAAATGCCGTAGGATATATATATATATATATATATATATATATATATATATATATATATATATATATATATATATATATATATATATATATATATATATATATATATATATATATATAAATACATACACATTGCACGTCTTGACTAAGGTATCAAGTATCAAAATCATTTGACCAGTCGATATTGTTTCATTCTAAGAATCCGCTACTTATAAATGCACGTTTAATAATATTTGAAAGGACTTTGAACTCATTTTATGATCATGGATAGATAGCAAACGTTTTGATGCAAGTCAGCTTCCTTTCCGAAACTACTATTTTTAGCACACGTTCATCTTGACTCAGATAAATACACAATTCGTAGAAACATTGTTACATTTTATTTTTAGCTGACAGTTTCTGACCTTGATGCAGAGATTGGTAATCACAGAATGAAAATCATTGGTCGTAATCAATGTCATACTTGGTTTGTGTGTTAAACAGTTTTTTTAATTGAAACTTACAGGAAGATTTGTTCAGTAAATTTAGGGACTTCCAAACCTTACGTGCTAAATGAGATATTATTTTACTTTCTGTTCAATTTAAGTAACCACATGAGCAATCATGTGATTTAACATCGCGGGTTAAAAAATATGTTTCAGAGTGATTTTAGTCTGTCGTATTTCACACCTTTAGAGCTCAAGGTAATTTTAATGTTGATACCAGTTTGATTTAAAATTCGTCTATTTATATTTTAAATAATTTATTTGCCCTGGAAAATACTTGTGCTCATAAAGACCATAAGACAGAAATTTGCCAAAAGTATTTGGAATTCTAAGCTTGGAAAAATTTCTTAATGATTCAACAAGGAACGGTTGGCACAACCCAAACGTTATAGATGTCATCGCCTTCATTTTGAAATTTCATCGGGATTCGAAAATCGATTCATTTAGGATTTTTTAGTGACAGGACTTATATTTTAAAATTCCAGGATTAATTTTTGGATTATAGTCACAGACTGTAATTCCTTTCTCATAGTTTACCTTTTTGTCTAGGGAAATAAATTATTATGTTAAATTTACAAAGCTTGTTGGCTTCACTTTTTTCTTTGTTACTTCTGTACGAGCCTACACGTATCATAATTAAAAATGTAAAACCGCTAAACTCGAAGGTGCTTCCGAGTGTACGCGACTAAACTAGAAAAAGCGATAGCATGAAACAATTTTATGTTGCACGCCGTGATGAGCATGCTCAGTAGTGTACTTTGTCTTTAACACCTGAAATATTTTGCGGGCGCAAGCAGGAACTTTTTTCTTTTTATGATGTACATTCATTCATGTTTCTCTCTTGTTTATCTAGTTGTATGTGATAAAGACATGGAACGATGGCGCTTATACTGTGCAAATAAAAAAATAAGTCTTTTGTTAGTACTAAACTTAAATGCTCACATCTGTACTTGCGATTGTTCAAGGTTGTCTTTCGAGGGGAAAACAGTACAAATGTAATATTAGATGGGGGGACTCAACTTGCTTGCTCCTCCCTCAAAGAATTAATCTTCATACAATATACATGCGATGGGATGTGCTGATCAGTTTTCTATAGTATATATTCCGACATGTTTTAGTAGAACTGAAATATCTACGGAGTTAATGATCCTATACAGATAAATAGACCACTCCGGTTTGACTTCTTTCTCTATATTTGATAATTTGTGTTTTTATTGCTTTTACAAGATTTAACAAAATATTTTCAACTTTGTCTCTGATCCTTTGTTGCAGATCCTGAAATGCTGTGTGGAATTAGTTGAGTTTTAAAACTTATTATACTGTTTTTGCTTTTGTGGTCGTGGATTTAATTCGCTCAATAAACTGCTACATTGTCGCTCACTTGAGAAACATAAGTAGAAATTGTGTTGCCAATTATCCAGTGTTAATTTTGCATGAGGCAGGTTTCCGCTTCCTACAAGTTTATGGTTTTTGTTTTGCCACCATAGACTTAATACAATCACTGACCTACGTTGTGGATGAAGAGTGTCGAGAGCTTCGCTTCATATGATGTACAACAATGACAGAATTTGGAATGAAGCTAAGGTTTTCTTGTACTCTAAATGTGAGACATTTTCTGTTTAGTTTAAAAACGGCGAACCTCCAGTACATAGAAGCTGTGCATCGTTTCCTTGTCCGTAATGATGCAGAGTTTATTGTAATAGTTATGACCTTTTTCAAAATACTTAATCTAAATAATATAATTAAAGATCTTTTTAAGGGATGCATATTCGCTCAACTATGTATTATCTAAAATACATACAGGCAAATATTCATATGGTCTGTTTTAAAACCTGTAATGTTTTGGCCGTAATATCTTAATCATGCAATCAAAAAAACTTAAATGTATTTAAATTATTAACTTTATGAATGAGGAAACCAAGGTTCTAAGCATTCTAATCAGTGGAGCATTCTAATGTGATGTGATGGCTCTCCAAACAAAGTGCCCTGATTGTCTGCTTCTTGTCATCACTCCTTCTAAACGATGCCTAGCAACAGACCATAACAAACTAACATTCACTATTAACAACGTCCCTATCATATGCTTTGACTGATTATTATCAATTAAAACAAATATTACCGACTTTATATGAGAAAACCGCAAAGAAGTGTAATAACATGATAGCGACTAGGTTATTACGGGCTTCCCTTGCATGACGACATCATGCCAGTTTTGTCCCGTTATAAGTTGTTATAATACGATGTGATGTGATTATGATATTTAACGTAGCTTTAACAATGTTTCAGTCATATCGCTACGAAGTATGTAGTGTGGCAGTTTATAGTGATGTCTAGCTCTAGGGCATCATGCCGCAGACATATAGCATAATAATTGAAAAGAATTGGTTATCTTTCGCAAAAGACCGCTGTTCTTTCAGTCACATTACCCTGTCACCAGATCGACCAGTCCTAACACTAACCTCTTAATGCTGAGCGCCAAGCGAATTATGATTCGACTGGGAATCGAACCCACGACCTCTCGCATCCGAAACTGACGCTCTAACCACTAGGCCACCAGAACGGTTTTGCTATGATACGTGTTATATATTGAAAAAAAAATCCCATCATGGTCACACTCCTCCGCCAACGTCGCATCAGATGGCTGGGCCATGTGCATCAAATGGATGATGGGCGGATCCCCAATGACCTTCTCTACTCTAAGCTTGCCTCAGGCAGAAGATCAATAGGACGGCCACATCTTCGCTTCAAGGATGTCTGCAAGCAGGATATGAAAGCTCTTGGAATAGAGGTCAACACATGGGAAAAGCTTGCCCTCGACAAGTCCAGCTGGCGACATGCTCTGTACACAGGTCTGAAAGCCAGCGAGGAAAAGTTACGACAGCTCGCTGATGAGAAAAGATCTCAGAGGAAGAGGATGCAGTTCCAACCAATACCTGATTCATACTTCAAGTGTAGCAACTGTAGCAAGGATTGCCACTCCAGTGTGGGATTTTATAGTCACAGAAGACGCTGCACAGCTACAAACTTGGACACCTTTCATGGGCGCATTTCCATCGTCTCTCGAGACTAACGGAAGCCGACCATGTACCATTGAAAAACAACTAAAATATAGGATATTGGTCTACTAACCGATTTAACACAGAACAGTATCAACAAAGTACTAAAGTAATGAATATTGAATATCACACACTTCTGTTTCGGATCATGTAAACATTTGCGTTAGGATACATTAGAATTTCAATGACTCATTAAAACACTTTGAGGAAACGAATAATTGAACCAGAATCGGTTATCTTTCGCAAAGGACCGCTGTTCTTTCAGTGAACAACAGCAATCAATGCGTTAGCAGAATTCAACACACACACACACACACACACACACACACACACACACACACACACACACACACACACACACACAAGGTCAATATCTATTAGCGTTATAATTAATTGTGATTTTGTATCGAAAATAGAGTCCGCTGGTATATCACAGAATATCCGAAATATGTAATGTTGGTACAGCAAAAGCTGTTATGTTAAATATGTGACCTAATTACATTGGGCTTTTCCTCGCCGAAAAATTCATGATAACACGATCAGGGATTACATCTAGGATTTTCACCTGTTAACCGCAAAATTCATAATAACACGATCTGGGTCAGGCTAATGCAAGCAGTTAAATCTTACACATCTGTTCATAGTTAGCTATAGAACATATTGGACGAAGTTTTAGGTATGTGAGTTTAGCTAGTGACGTTTCTTTCACTTTTTGGATTAAGCTATGTGCAAGGGCGTACACGATATCGTGGTAGAGTAGTCTCGCCACCACCGTAAATTTCCCCAGTGTATTAATATGCAGGATATTACTATATACCTTTCATTATTGCTTGAAAGAGAGAGAGAGAGAGAGAGAGAGAGAGAGAGAGAGAGAGAGAGAGAGAGAGAGAGAGAGAGAGAGAGAGAGAGAGAGAGAGAGAGAGAGAGAATGGAAGGCGGAACATATAAATGTAAAGAAAAATGCTTTCTTATCTGCAGACAAACACCCATGACGACTACTTTAAAAAAGTCAGTAGAAAATACAATAGCAACTAAGCGTGGAACGTTTGCAGGATTTATAAGCCTTTGCTCAAAATATATCTTGCTATTTAGGTCAGACATCACTACAATAGTCAGGATATTATTTATTACTGCTACATTTACGTACATAATGAAACCGATAATGTGATTGGACGCTTTTGAATGATCTACAACTACACTGAGTAACTGGACAATGATTTTAAAACTTGAACCGATGTTTCTATAAAATATAATGCTAACAATCAAAGTTTCTTGAGAAATGTAAAGTTAAATAATGTTTAAATTACGTTTTATCCGCATAATCAGTAAATGAACCTTACGTGTAATCTGCCCTGCACCCATTTATCGTTAGTTTTGACTTTTTGTTGAGATGCTGAATTCTGTCAAAACTCTACAAGAATGGTTTCCCAGAAAAATCACACTAAACAGTGTTCTTAAGCAGAGATGAGGTAATATTATATTTATTATGAATGGGTAGTTCTTGCAAAAATAGTAGATATTTGCATTTTCGTTTACATACATACCAATTTTTTAACTATTATAGGAAGCAAACTAAACTAAGCCGTTTACACGTGTACACGTTGCAGCCATAATAACAACGAATGTGTCAGTAAAAATGTCATGCATGTCCAGATGTTCAACATCTGTGCCAGCCATTTTGTTGCTAGTAAACTGGCGAACCAGTTGACGTGTGACAAATATTGAATAATCCAAAAAGTCATGTGTAGGCCAACACAGAACTCCCCAACCATTTTAACTCACTAGGTCAATCGGTCCAGTACATCTATATGCTCCACTTTCAGTAACATAATGGCTCGATAGGCAATGAACGTGAACATAAAGAAAAGTTTTGAATGAATAAGAAATTTACATTGCAAAAGTCTTTCATTATCTCTATGAGAGAGAGAGAGAGAGAGAGAGAGAGAGAGAGAGAGAGAGAGAGAGAGAGAGAGAGAGAGAGAGAGAGAGAGAGAGAGAGAGAGAGAGAGATTGTGCCTACATTCCACTAATTTTGTGCTATGAGTAGAACCAAATACAGTTGCAGTACGAGTTGAAATCATACAACTGCTGCTACCACTGCTACTAAATTGATATCATTAAAGTAGAGTGATGTAGAGCCAACTGACGGGGAGAAACGTATACGCGGTGCGTTGAACCAAAACCTTTCTGCAAGAGATTCTAGTCTGACCTGACGTACATTAAGGTTGGGGAATTGGCCTATTTGGGGCATCATTGTGGTATGTTATTACGTTACATCTTAGCTATGTATCAGAGAAGTCTGTTTCGGCAGATAAGCCAAAACAGGGAGCTTCACCATCGTCTCTCGAAGACGGACGGATGCCAACATATGTGTGTGTATAATATATATATATATATATATATATATATATATATATATATATATATATATATATATATATATATATATATATATATATATATATATATATATATATATATATATATATATAAATATATATATATATATATATATATATATATATATATATATATATATATATATATATATATATATATATATATATATATATATATATATTGTGTGTGTGTGTGAGGATTGGTGATTGAGTTTGCTTTATTTATAGTTTAATAATACACGTTTGTATGTTTAAATGAATTCAGTTATGGATACGGAGAGATTGCAGATGTTTTAATTCAGTCATGGACACGGAGGAATTATAGCATCTGGAAGTGATTGAATGCCATCTTCAGCCAGCAAAATTGTTTTGTTTTTTTAGATGAAATATCGCACAAACTCATGAAAGTCCATGAGAGATCAAACAAATACGTTTAATAAGCACTTGTCTAGGATGAATATTCGCGAGATCGAATAATATTTTGTCTGTAAGGCATTCTTCTGAATCAGTCGAATCCAGATGGAAAAGTTATATACTACTGCTCCAAACACTAATTCTGCAGCTGCTGCTACTCCTAGTAATGAATTAATATAGAGCTTATGAAACGAGCTGAAAAATGTTGTTGTTGTTGTTGTTGTTGTTGTTGTTGTTGTTGTTGTTGTTGTTGTTGTTGTTGTTGTTGTTGTTGTTGTTGTTGTTGTTGTTGTTGTTGTTGTTGTTGTTGTTGTTGTTGTTGTTGTTGTTGTTGTTGTTGTTGTTGTTGTTGTTGTTGTTGTTGTTGTTGTTGTTGTTGTTGTTGTTGTTGTTGTTGTTGTTGTTGTTGTTGTTGTTGTTGTTGTTGTTGTTGTTGTTGTTGTTGTTGTTGTTGTTGTTGTTGTTGTTGTTGTTGTTGTTGTTGTTGTTGTTGTTGTTGTTGTTGTTGTTGTTGTTGTTGTTGTTGTTGTTGTTGTTGTTGTTGTTGTTGTTGTTGTTGTTGTTGTTGTTGTTGTTGTTGTTGTTGTTGTTGTTGTTGTTGTTGTTGTTGTTGTTGTTGTTGTTGTTGTTGTTGTTGTTGTTTCAGCAATTTACAAAATGAACACAACAAATCAATTGTTTACAAAAATGAAAACAAAAAATGAAAAAACGCAAAGATAAACATTTTCAAAGGTTTGTGCCACCTGCGGTGGTCTTCCACATGAGTGGAGAAGAATGAAAACAAGGCATAACTTATAAATTCATTATCAGAAAAAGGGATTTGTTTAAAGCTTTCTTTTTTCTTTTTTTTTTACGTTAGAGTAGAAATGGAAATATCTTAGTACAGCGTTTGAAGATGTTTGAAACATTAATTCTACCTATATATAAAAATGCATGGAGATAACAAAAAATGTGCGATTTCCTGGGTGGTGCAAACTAGTCATTAAGAGATTTTAACAACTGTAGAACTCAAGTAGATGCATCTTTTTTAAGATGGCCAGATGGAACTCTTTGTACTCTACGCGTGTTACCAACTCGATCTAAATTCTTGCTTACTTCGCATGACAGGCTATAAATCCAAATCAAATACGCCAGCTGGAAAACATGTGATTTATGTGGAACTCAACTTCTAACACTACACCATCTGACTGCTTAAAGTAATGTATACTGCCACTATTTACACAGCCACACTTGATGCCTAAATAAATTCAAACCACTATTTAGGCACAACTGATGCCTAAAGTAATTCAAACCACTACTTAGGCACAACTGATGCCTAAAGTAATTCAAACCACTACTTAGGCACAACTGATGCCTAAAGTAATTCAAACCACTACTTAGGCACAACTGATGCCTAAAGTAATTCAAACCACTACTTAGGCACAACTGATGCCTAAAGTAATTTGAAACAACTCCTTCCATGTAGAGCTCCATCGGATACTTAAAGTGATTTAAACTTGCATTACCATTTACAGCCACACCGGATGCTTAGATCAATTCAAACTAGACAATACTATATACAACCGCACATCAGACTCGAAGTAATTTAACAAACAATAGCTTATACAACCACACATCAGACTCGAAGTAATGTAACAAATATTAGCTTATACAACCGCACATCAGACTCGAAGTAATGTAACAAATATTAG